GTGGCCTTGATTGAAGTGCTTAACCTTTCTTTACCTTGGCTTCATGTCTATAAAGTGACAAACTTATGAAATTACAAGTGTAGGTTTGCTTGAAGTCTCAAAGGTAGAAGTCTTCAAAACAAAAAAGTTCATGGGGGAAGTCATTTTAGTATGAAATTTAGTTTTATGCTTTCTAGTTTTCAATATTAAATCAACTTGACTCTGAATAGCCTTTGAGGATCAAAACATCTCAAATGCTTTATCTCTAGAACATTGCTGCCCCACTCCGTGATGATGGGAGGGAGGGATGGAGTATTCTTTACCTGCACCGTCCAATTAGGTAATCACAAGCCACATAGGGAATTGAGTGCTTGAGATGAAGCTAGTATAACTGAGGCACTTAATTTTTAATTTTAAATACTTTTATTTGATTCAAATTTAAAATTAAATAGCCACATGCAGCTAGTGGCTACTGTATTGTATGGAGAAGCTCTAGAGTCTTTCAATAGAGCCTTGTTACATCATTTGAAAGACCATTCCTCTTTGTTAAACACTCAGTTAAATCCTTGGTATCTTGTATACCTGGGTTCTTGTCCGGCAAGGGAAGTTTAACTTAAGGTTTAGGGTTTTACTAAAATGGTTTCTCTGGGCTTCTTGTTATTATCAAAGTGCGCTTGGCTGAGGGGAATGAACATTTACCTCTACAGGTTGAGGAAGCAAGGCTCTAAAGCGGCCTTCTGCAACCCCACAAAATTGAAAAGCCATGTGCAGTTTCATTCTACTGTTTCCACGTTTGTTTTAAGATGAAAATAATGTTAAATAATGGCTATTCAAATTCCTTAGTACCTCATCTCCCCACCTCACCTTCCATCTTTCTCTACCCATCTCTCTACCAAGATAAAGAAAACAGTTTGGTGTCATTCCAGAATGATACGCCGTGTCTCTTCTTCATCCCTCCATTGGTAGGGGGAGATTCTAGTTTGAGAAGAGGCATTGACATAAGAGGCAAACTGCAGCAGGTGACATATAGGCTTCTTACAGGGCATATAGAGGAAGGGCAATAATACTGTGGAAACTAACTTTTGTTTTTCCTTAACCGTTGTAGACTCCAATTTGATTGTTTGAGGTTTACTGCCTCCTATGTCCTGACTCCCTTCCCTTCCAGCGGCATGCTGGTGATGCTGTATTTTCAGCACCACTCACGTGTGCGCAGCCTTGCTGGGTGTAGTTATGTTTGGGAGTCATAATTTGACCAGCGGTGAATCCAGGGCTGTAGTGGAATCTGTGTCTTACTTTAATGGAATTCAGCTCTGGGTATCTTGTTCTTTGTTGCTCCAAGTAAGCTTATATAGATAGTGGGTTTAGCCTCTAATTTTTTTCCAAAGTAGGGGGAAAGGACTTTTAATGGCTTTCCTGATAATAGTAACACAGCTAGATGCAGTACATCGCCCGGAGTTGTGCAAAAGAAAGTGGAACAGTGGCTGGTTTTACTCTCTATATCGTTGCTTTGGTATACACAAGCCAGTAATTTGAATGTTGGTTTTATTTCCCATACAAATGCATTTATTTATAACTTTTCACATTTAATAGCACCATTCTACTTCAGATATTAGTAGTGAATTGCCTGAAGAAAAATTAGAATTTCAAATATAATAGGATTACAAACACTTCGGAAATTTGTTTCCCTTTTTTATTCCCCTCCTTCTCCTCCCCCCTCCCTATATCCCTCTGCTTCTTTTGTTGGAACTGTGTATCTTTCATAATTCTTTGAAAATGAAAACAAATCAGCAGCTCCTGTGGAGCTTCAGTGAAATGCTTGGGCTGAATCCTAGGCAAGGCAACACACGCAGGCCAGGTGTCCTACAGGATTAAGTAACAGTCCCTTTTCTTTCTTTGTATAATGGCTAATGCCTTTTCAATACATAGCAAGGCAGCAGAATCATATTTTTACAATTAACTAGTTTCCATAGCCCCTGCATTCCTTTGCTTTTGTTTGTCGTTACTTATTCCAGGATGTGCAGTGTGCAAATACACTTGCGTGCTGCTCCCTCTCCCCATACTCATGTGAAGAACTTTCTTCCACAGACCTCTCAGGCTGTTATTGCTTTTTATTTCTTTTTCCCGTAAGGACCACTTGACTGTTATTGAGTGGAGAAGGGACAAGAACACATAAAATGAACAAGATAAGCAGTTTCTTCGTAAATTCTTGGAATTTAAGTTCTTATTGAGGATTTCAAATATTTAGATGCTTCAGTGGATTATTTCCTTTAAAATAATGATTCCAAGTTTGAATGTAGCTCCTGGGTCACTGTCCTAATTCTAAATGATTGGTGGCAATTGAGAAAAAGCCAGTATTAATTCAAATTTCCTGTAGAACATTTTAAAAAGAACTAAGCCGACACAGACACCCATCTCCAATGCTCAAAGCCTCCCTGTGTTCCACTTGGTAAGGAAAATGAATGCCACCAGTTATCATAATGAGAATATTGGGTCATATTTATGACATGGTGGGTATATTTTAATGTGTTAGAAATATTTTAAATTGTAATAGAAGTGTATAATCATTCTGGCTTTCTTTATAATGCTAGTCGTACTTATGATTTTTATTGATGTTGAACCGTTTAGTGACCCCAAATGATAGCATTGTTGTTATGGCATAGTGTGATCTGTTCTAAGATACTCCTTGAGCCTTGCTCTCAGGGATATAGTAGAGGGCCAGGTGGCCGGCGTGCCCTTTCTCTCTGGTCTCTCGTGTTGCCTGTGTTGGTGAATTAGTTCTGTAATTGCTCCTCAGTCCTCTGCTCTGTTCTGGAAACTTGGGAAATAATAAAACAGAAGGCATCTTTTATTTCTGTAGCATGTGGTTATTCTGGTGTCTGCTTTTGATTGTGAAATGTTTGTGATCTCTACAAACTGGAAGATGGAAAGAAAATACAAACATCTAGTCTATTCTGGAGATCCTTTGAATGCATTGTTCCTAGTTAAAATTTGATTATCTTATTACAGCATGTTAATAATTTAAATTAGGCCACAAGCGTTTTGAGTGGAAAAGAGCCATTTTCAGTGGACAGTGTAACTGTCAAATTTAATACTCAAGACTGCAATCTCCCTTTTGCATCAAGACTCATAGGTGAGAAACTTGGGATTGACCCAATAGGATATACCGAGTTACTCAGTTCACCTTGGGAGAAAGGGAACTAGAGACAAGATGTTTGTGGAAGTCTGAAATTACATTCTTGTGATTATGTGTTGCAGCCCAGGTGTTCTAAGCTTCCTGGCACGCTGGCCTTCCTCATGAAGTGTGCCACTTGAATTGCTGGTAGCTGACACTCTCAAGAGGAGATCCTGTAGAAGGCAGCATTAGCATAAATGCTTCCAAGAATATTTTAAGGGCAGATGGTAGAAACTGCATCAGGGCTAAAGATATGGACAATTCACAATAAAATTTGAGCATGTTGTATTTATTGTTAGAGCAGCAGAAGATATGTAAGGAGCTTTTTTTTATCCCTTGAAGTTAATTAAAATTAGTATGTTAATGCAATTTGGATGGGTTGGTTTCTTTTTAATATACATTTAGGAGTGAGTTGTACAAATACTTGCCATCTCGTAAATTTTCTATGGATTGTTTTGTGTTTGGCTGTGTAGTGTGGTGGCTGTTACAGAGTGACACCTAGTGTTTGATGTGTTTGTGACATGGGACAGATTGGAAGGAAGAGTCTGACTTTGAAGCCTTGCATGCATGGGCTGTTGCTTCAGACCTTGGGTGTTTGCTGAGTGAACTTGACAGGTCGACCAGTCCCGAGTCAACCTGCAGGTGTATGACACTTTCTAGTAGTGCTGAGGCAGGAATTTAAATCCTCTAAGTTTCTAGGTTGGTGGGGACCAGGTAGTGGATTCTCAGTGGGACTTTGTTATTTCTCTAGTCATCACTTATGTGGAAACTCTTTGAAAGTGAATTGCTTTTCTTTTTCTAAAAAAATGGAACAGAAAGACAGCCAACTAGTTGTGCTGATACCAAAATTGAAGAAATCTGAAGAATGCAGTTTTTAGCCAGAAAGTGGAAGCTTGCATGAAATGAAGAATAGCATGGCAGATTTGGTTGTGACTGAGATCTCCTATGTGAGATTATTCTCTTGAATTTGTTTTAGTGAGTGCTTTATTTAGTGCAAAACTTGCATGTTATGGGTAGAATTATATGCTACTAATTTGGGGGTTTGTGAAGATCGCTGAATGTTCTCTCATCAAAAGTGAAGAGTCTAGTGCATTTTGATTTTCTTTAAAAAGAGATTAACCTTTGCCTGTTCCTAAGCAAAGTAAAAAATATAACCTCTTGAAATTTATCCAGTGCCTATGCTTCCAGATTTTTGAATATTGCAGTTTTTGTACCTAATAAAAATGTTTTGAATATTGCATTTGAGTACCTAATACAATAGTGTTCCTTCTTTTCTGCAATTTTGCTTTTTGAGGTTTCAGTTACTTTCAGTCAGTTGAAGTCCAGAAAGATTGAATGGAAAATTACAGAAATAAATCATTCATACATTTTAAATTGTGTTTCTTTCTGAGTAGTGTGATGAAATCTCTCACTATTCTGTGCCATCCTGCTTGGGATATGAATCATCTATCCCTTTGTCCAGTGTATCCACAGTGTGTATACTACCACCTGTTAATCACTTAGTAGCTGTCTAGGTTATCAGATGAACTGTTGTGGTATCACAGTACTTGTGTTCAGGTAACCCTTATTTTACTTAATAATGGCTTCAAGGGTCAAGATATGTCAATTTGGATATGCCAAAGAGAAACTGTAACATGCTTCCTTTAGGTGAAAGGATGAAAATTCTTAATAAGAAAGAAAAAAAAAATCATACACCGAGATTACTAAGGTCCTACAGTAAGAATGAATCTTCTATCCGTGAAATTGTGAAGAAGGAAGAAGAAATTTGTGCATAGTATACATAGGGTTTGGTACTATCAGTGGTTTTAGGCATCCACTGTGGTTCTTGGAATGTATCCCCCTCAGATAAGGGGGGACTACTGTAAAAATGATTTCCTGTCTGTTTGTCTATTTATTTTGTTCAATATTGATAGTATTTTTCTACACTCTGTGATTCCATACATCTTGGGCTGATGCTCTTTGATGCTCTCTTTTGCCCCTGTCTTGTGCTCTTCCAGCTGAGAAGCATGTTGGTGAAGGGTCTGGTTGAGGTGGGCTCCTCATAAGTGATGTTTGAGTTTGGTCTTAAAGACTGAAAAGGATGTCATGAGATGGAGCTGTGCTTTCTTTACTCCCTAACAGTATGGCTAATGATTAGATGGTGTACTATACTGGAAGGGATTGCTGGTCTAAAAAGAAAAGCATTACTTTTTTAGCTAAAAATGTAGTCATTTTATTTTTAACATTACCTAGTTCTTCATTTTAGCTCCATTTGGAGCTCCATTTGGAAATTTAAGGTTCCAAACAAGTGTTGAAACTCAGAGTTCAATGTAAGCATTCTGTCTGTATCAAAGAGTTGAGTCATTTTTAGTAAGAGGTGAATGGCCAGGCCCAAGACAGTAGAAAAATAAGTCCCCGTTTTTGTAAGTTTCCCTGGAAGCATCTATACCACAGGGCTTCTATGCATATGGGTCCTTCTGAAACCTTCTGAAACCTGGCTCTACTTGTAGCACAGGCATTCACAGAATGTTTTCTTTAAACTGAACTGCGCTTTTCTCATTATAAGTTTTCTGAATGTTTATTATTCAAAAGGTCAAGTAACTACGACCTCTATTCTTTTAAACCAAGTCATCTATTTTCTTCCCGGTTGGCATTTTCTTTACCCAGTGCCCTTCTGTCGTGCAACAAATTTGGGGAAAGATTGCTCCCCAGATTTCTACATTCAGACATAACAGGTTTAGTTGGTCATTGTTTTAGTAGACTACTTTTCGTGAATTAGTATGTAATATTTTCCTTATTTTTCACTGTCCTACCTTTTTAAGTGGAATCAAAATCAAGTGTCAGTCCACTGGGATGTATTGTAGTCATCTGGTAATGATTTGAAAAAAAATTTCCCACACAAATTAAATGAAGACCAGGAGTTTTAAAGTACACTATAGCATCTTGTATAAACTCCAGCTTACATTTCACATTATTCCTGGTCATGCAGTAGGTTCTGAAGAAAAAAGAACTATGGATAATCAGTTAAAAGAATGACAGATTCCCTGATGTGCTGATCAGTAGTAATACCTAATTTTGATTTCGAGTGTGCTATAATGGATTACCATATAGATGCAGCTGAGCACTGAGCATTAAATAGAGCCATGTGTTTTTCAGAAAAGTAATATTTATTCACACTGTGTGGCTTTCTTGAATTTTTTTTATTTTACTCTCCAGTGAAACTACAAACAAGATGTCAATAGCTTATGTGGCATTCACAGCAGTATAGCTTAGAATATTGGCTGCAGTAGAAGAAATGCCAGATTGCATTTGCCTCAGTAAAGGTAGGCTTCATCGGGGACTTTCTGAGGGACAGGCTTAGCATTTAGACATAGACAGTTGTGTTGGGCTTTATTTTTATTGACCTCATAGACTTTAATGTCTAAAAAAAAATGGTCTTTGAAATATTTGGGGACAAAAAGAAGCATCAGTATGGGTAATGTTTCAGCCTTTGAATTGTTGTATAAGATTCTGTCTATTTGGGAATATTCTTAGTAGCTCAGATATTGGGCATGTGTTTTATACCCAAACCTTATTGAGTTTATTTTTGAGTGTCTTTTAAAGTCCACCCTTTTGCAAATCTGAAAACTTTTGTCCAGAAGTGGTGATGATGATAGGCCTGACCTCAGAATAAGCTGGAGACTACTTTGTGGCAGACTGACAATATCCAAGCATCTACATACACATCATCTTGCTATTAATATATTCTCTGTTTTTCTTTTTGCTATTAAAAAGATGTTTTTCTTTGTTGTATACTAACAAAAGAGAACGAAATCAAGAAGACCAATATGTGTTTTGGAAACTGAAAAGCATGATTCACTGCCAAATTGGTTTCCTGATTAAATTAAAGATCTGGAGAACAGTGGGCATGTCAAGCATTCATCTGGTCCAAGTTCATTTTCTCTGTAGCTTCTATGTGAAAATTTTAAATTAAGCGCCAAGATGGGCTCGGAAGATGATCCTGGAATGTAGCTGGGGTGCCAGGTCCCCTTGAAGGATAATGCATGAGAAAATAGGACTCCGAGTCACTGCTTTGCCATTTGCTCAGGCAGAGTGAACTGCAAGGAAGGAGGCAGAAGAAGTATGAGAGGGACTCAGTGGGACCAGGCTTCCATCTACGTGAGGTGGCAGCCAGCTGGTGAGAAACAATGCCGGCAGAGAGGCCATGTCTCTGAAGTAGGGGAAGCTTCTCTTAGTGCTTCGGCTTTTTAATATGATGAAAATACTCTACATGCATATGAAGATTATTGTGGCACACATGGAGATGTGCTGCTCATATTCACCTCAAGAAAAAATTTTCTGCCCAGCTATGAGGAGGTGTTAGCTGATGGTGTCCAGCTGTTCACACCCTCAGCTCTCTAGCTTTGGTCACGCTTGCCTCATGATGGCCCCCAGCCAGTGACCGAATGGGGCAGTGGTACAAGGGCCTCTCCATTTCTCCTCAGGCAGGACTCCTATGATCTCTGCTCCAGAGCTCACACTGGCAGAGATTTGTCAGCTTTGCCTTGTGGTCAGAGGCTCCCCTGCCCAGTCCTGCTGCCCTTTCTCTTCCACAGGTGTGACTGCTCAATAAACCATTTCCATTCCCAACTCCTCCATTGGGGAATGTGTCCCAGAGAACTCAACTTACAATGAATATTTTTAATTTATTATCCAAGACACTAAACTAGGATTTATGGTAATTTTTCAGTGAAGAGAAAGTATGAGTTAAAGAATCATAATGCTTAGATGCAAATGGAGGCCATCTTTCTCGAGTCTGGAGCCCCAGAGCATCTCCAGATTGTGCTTACTTGTGGCTCTAGAGTTGCTCATTCGGCCTGGCAGCAGAGTAACTGCTGAGAACCCTTGTTCTTACTCTCAGTTACAGAGATGTTGGGTTTCTTATTCCAACCTTTTTGCTCGTGATGTTTTCCTGTAGGCTGTAGCCAGGTCTGTGGGTTCTTGCTCCTGTTTGTGTCATGGGGATGTTTAGGTCTATGTCTGTTGGTTGGACAGTGTTCATGTGGGTTGTTTTTAAGATATTCTGTAGAAGACTATTTACCCCTTCTGATTCCCTTTAATGTAATGGAATTTAATGTAACAACCCAATTTTTTATATTTAGCTCTTTTTTGTGTTACTCGTCTAAAATTCATGTTGGTGCATATCGCAAGGTAAGACCTATTTTGATTTTTTCCCCCTCAAACAGCCACTTGCTTCTGTGCACTTTATAAATGGATTTGTCGTGCCTGGAATTTGATGTTTGTCTGACAAAGGTGATGGGTTCTCCAGGCAAGAGAGAACATTGAGCTCACTTAATTTAATACTGAAGTATCTTTTTATGTGTCATCCATTTTCCCACATTTTTCAGCATCTTTACTTTTAAAAACTAGTTGTGCACATAGGAGTCCACTTGCTCAAGGCTTCTTGGGCATGGCTCCAGGTAAAAAATAAAATAAAATAAAAACTAGTTGCGCATGTGAATAGTCGTATGTATTTCTAATATTTAAAATAAATAAGCATTCAAACAGCTGATACATCAACAATTTCTCCTTTGATTTGAGCACATTTGTCTCCAACTACTGCTTTACTGTCTTCATTCTTAACCTTCTTGGCAGAACTCCCTCAGCTCACTGATACCACCAGGGCTGCATCTTCTCATTTTAAACCCTGTCCCAGAGAGCTTGCATGTATACACATCTTAAGGTGCTACCTGTATCCCTTACCATTTAAATCCTGCGCCTGTACTCCAGATCCATATATCCAATTGCCTAGAAGGACTTCTCTACTAAGATAGTCCATTGACGCTTCAATTCCAGGATGTTCAGAACCAAACCTGACATGCTTATTCTCCTTAGGCCTAAAATTCCTTTTGGATTTGATCTCTTGTATAACAGCATTTCCATTTACTAAGCCACTCGGAGTCATTCTGGAACCTCCCTTTGCTTAGCCACTCTACCCATCCATCCTGACAGTTTTACCTCCCAAATGTCATTACTATTGTGCTTCTCTTCTGTACCCTGCTGACCTTGGTGCAGGCCATTTCATACCTCCTCTGAAATACTACCATTGCTTCTTCATTAATTATCTCTGCCTCTCCTCTCAGCCATCTCAGATTCACCTTCAGCTGGAACCTGTTCAGGGACTGTGCACTGCTTCCAGGAGGCCTTTGACCTCTGAGCATTGCCTGCCTCTCCAGTTCCATCTCCTCCCCTTCTCATCCCTCTACCACCAAGCTGACCCTCCTGCAGCTGCTGTTCTTTAGGACACCAAGGGGTCTTTGCCTGTTGGCATTACCCCATGCTCTTCATTTTGTCCCTGTTCTCTAGTAGGTGAATTTAATTAGTTTTCTATGTCTCAGCTCAAATATCCTCTTGTCCAGGAAGCAGTCCATGAAGCTCTTGCTGAGAAGAGGCACTTTCCCCCTCACCTCTGTAGTACCTCATACAAACTTCTGTCAGGATTTTTCTTTCTTTTTTTGGGAGGGGTGGCTGGGGACAGGATTTCACTCTGTTGCCTGGGTTAAAGTGCAGTGGCATCATTGTAGCTCACTGTAGCTCACTTAAGCCCCAAACTCCTGGGCTTAAGTGATCTTCTTGCCTCAGCCATCCAAGTAGCAGGACTACAAGTGTGAGCCACCACGCTCAGCTAATTAAAAAATTTTTTTTGTAGAGATAGGGTCTCTCTGTGGTCCAGGCTGGTCTCAAACTCCTGCCCTCGAGCTATTCTCCTGCCTCAGTCTCCCAAAGTGCTAGGATTACAGGCATGAACCACCATGCCCAGCCATGTCAGGATTTTTTTTTTTGGCTGATATATATATATATATATATATATATATATATAATTTCTCTTGCCCACTAATCATGAAATCCTAAGAAGTACTAAATATTTTTTATTCATATTAATTTTATTCCTGTGCTTCAAATGTGAAGCCTGTTGCCTAGTGTGTAGGTGTTTTTCACTGAGTGGGATTTGGGATGTGTGTGGGTGTTTGAGTATATGTCAGCATTATCACATAGTAACATAAGTTATGTGATACATTTTACAGTTATGGGCTTGAAAGATAACAAGATGACTTGAATAGACTTTCTCAAAAGAAGATATACAAATGACCAACAAGTTTATGAAAAAATGCTCAATATCACTAATCATCAGAGACATGTAAATTAAAATCACAATACATACCACCTTACACCTGTTAGAGTTACTGTCATCAAAAAGATGAAAGATAAGTGTTGGCAAGGATGTGGAGAAAAGAGAACACTAGTACACTGTTGGTAGGAAAGTGAGTTAGTATAGCCATTATGGAGAATAGTATGAAAGTTCCTCAGAAAATTTAAAATAAAATTGTCATGCCGGGCGTGGTGGCTCATGCCTGTAATCCTAGCACTCTGGGAGGCTGAGGCGGGAGAATCACGTGAGCTCAGGAATTCAAGACCAGCCTGAGCAAGAGCGAGACCCCCGTCTCTACTAAAAAATAGAAGGAAATTAGCTAAACAACTAAAAATAGAAAAAATTAGTCAGGCATGGTGGTGTGTGCCTGTAGTCCCAGATATTCAGGAGGCTGAGGCAGAAGGATTGCTTGAGCCCAGGAGTTTAAGGTTGCTGTGAGCTAGGCTGATGCCATGGCATTGTAGCCTGGGCAACAGTGTGAGACTTTGTCTCAAAAAAAAAAAAGAAAATTGTCATATGCCTCAGCAATCCCACTTCCATGTGTGTATCCAAAGGAATTGAAATCAAAATGTGGAAGAGATATCTACACTCCCACATTTATTGCAGCACTATTTACAATAACCAAGATATATAAACAGGCTAAGCACTCATTAGTAGATGAATAGACAAAGAAATTGTTGCATATGTATACAATGGAATATATTCAGCCTTAAAAAAGAAAGAAACTCTGTCATTTGGGACTACATGAATGAATCTGGAGGACATTATGCTAAGTGAAATCAACCAGCCACAGAAGGACAGATTTCACATGATCTCACGTATTATATGTCGAATCTAAAAAAGTCAAACTTAAAGAGGTTCAGGGGCATTTATAACTACAATCCTAAAACTTATTTTTAGTTCCCTGATTTCATTAAATTCTTGCCACCAATTTCATTTTCTTGTTTCACTGAATTGTTTACGGTCTCATCCTCTTTGTTGTTCATCTTTCTTCCTAACCCGTTTTTTTTTTTCTTGTCCAGAGACTAATAATGATTATATTGGAAATATGAAGGAGAAGGTACAAAAGAAGAAACTTGGAGAACCTGGCATTTGGGAAATTATTCTTTTAATAAATAAGCAGTGGCTACTATTTAAGATAAAATTATCATTTTAGGTTTTTTTTTCTTTTCTTCTGGAGAGAATTAAACTTGGGACAGTCATCTCTTTAAAACATTCAGGGAAGGAAGCTTGCCTGGGGCAAGTAAAAGACACTATCTTATAGGAATATAGCATAAAGTGCAGTGTTTATATTATTATAAATAGTTTTCTTTTCCTTTTCCGAGACTTATATATAGCAAGTAATATGGGCCTCTCATGAAAATGTGTGATTTCATTTGTTATTTATTTTGTTTATATTGTATTTTTTTGTTGTTGTTTTATAGAAAATACTGCAATTTCTACCTGAACGAATTTTCTTTCGATGGCATTACCAGAGTATAGGTAAGAACAATTTAAAAATTTTTTAGTAATACAGAATTCTTCCAGTTGAATTTTCAGTAATGTTTTATATAATTAACACCATTAAGATAGCTTATAGCAGGGACTATTACTAAGGATATGGTGATTAAAATGAAGAGAAGCCCAACTTGGAGTTTGGAAGAAAATATATGTATCTCTAAACATGCTACTTGCAGTGTGGTTCATAGACCAGCACTATCAGCCTCACCCAGGAAATTGTTAGGGATGCAGAATCTTGGGTTCCAACCAGACCTGCTGAATCACAGTAGTCTGTATTTTTAACTAGAACGCTAGGAGATTCCTTTGTATGTGAAGTTTGAAAAACTCGAATCTAGAGTATTTTTCTTAAATAATTTTACATTTTTCTTACAAAACAATCTTGTTCTTCAGGGCTGTCGTTGACTCAAAATTATTCTCCTAGAATGCTTTAGGATGTGGCAGTGAGGGGAAACTTGAAATAAAGCAAGTTACCATGGCTGTCCTTTCTGTCCAGCTCTTAACATCTAACAGTGTCTCGTGGCAGTTTAATATGCACAGCACACGTGGAGTAATTCTGTGATATCAACTGTGAATCCTGCATTTTGTAAAGAGTGTCTACTTTAATCCTTTGCCATTCAAGAGCCTGGCATTTCCTATGGTTTTCCTTTTTAAAAATTTTATTTATTTTTACTTATTTTTTTCTTACTTAGCAAATCATATTTGAGGAGAGAATGACCTGATAATGGAATCTAACTCTATTTGATCATTTGTTCATTCAGGTATTTATTGAGGAAGAGACATTTGTGTACAAACTTTTGGGACAGAAACAAAGATATCTCACCATCCTTGTATTAGGTAGGCCTCTTGCCTAGTCAGGGATAGATGAGAAAAATAATTGCAGCGTAATTGTCGCTATGAAAGAATGAGGGTAGCAAAGAAGAAAAGTTGATTAACTCTATGCAGAGGAATTGAGGAAGGTTTCAAGAGAGGTAACTGATCTGAGCCTTGAAAGATGAACAGGTGAAGTGTGGAAAATGTGGAAAGGGCTTTCTTGGTGGGAGATGGTTATGTACAAAGTCGTGGAACCCAAAAGAATATGGGTGGACACTGAGTGGATACTCCAAAATTCCGAATCCTAAATTTAATTTAGGATTATTTATGTGAAAAATGTAACTGACTCTCATAAAAACTGAATTATTGAAGTTGTATGTTATAAATTTAAAAGCAAGCATGCATAGTAAATACATATATTGCACTGAATGAATAAATCATTACTTTAAGATGGGACCTTGATCTTTAAATCTTGCAAATGCACAGAGAAAGTTTTCCTTTAAATTTTAGAGAGTTGTCCATAGTATTTCTGCTTAATTGAGGCTTTGAGCTTATGTATTTAAATTAAAGTAAAAATAAAAAATTTAAATGCAAAGTATAATCTAAAGAGACATCATGGGGATTTGTGATGCTCCATCGAATAGTAGGAATGGATGACAATGAGACATAACTGCATGCAGTATTTTTTATCTGTGCTAGATATAATCCTTCTTCAATTTTGTTTATATCATTTGTATGAAAACTATACTCATTTTCTTCAGATAGCACTTTAGAATGTCTGAAGATTAGTAGGCCCTTCTCAGCATGAATAAACTTATTAGAACTATGTGTGAAAATTAATTTGCTTTTGTGTTGTGAAACTTTATGAATCTAGTAGGCAGTGTGTGGTATTACTTTAATTCTGCCTAATACCACATAAACTGGTTAAAATTGCTGGTCCAAGTAGTTTTTTACCCAGTTTGGTAGCATCTTATCAAGAAAAATGACTGGAGGCCTCAGACTCCTCGATTGGGATTGCCAAGTACTAGGTCTCCTGGGCCATCATAATAGCAGTATGTGTTGTTTATCTGGCATCTAGAACAAGCTGTTGCTATAAAGTGGTCAGAATAAGCCATATTTCAGAACGCCGAAGTATGATCATTAGAATATAAAATCATCCTTGTTTATTATTGCTGCTTATATACTTAATGCTTGAGTCACACAGGCTCTTTTCAGATACATATATTTTTATATCATTAATCAAATCGGGTAGAAATTGGCATTTATACAGGTCCACATCTCTTTTACAGTGATCTTTAGTTTGAAATATCAACAATGCTTGAAGTCTGTTTTTTGTTTTGTTTGTGGCAAACAGACATTTCTGTTTCCCTTAAAGCTGTTTTAGAGGAAAGAAATATAGTCTGTAGTTTCACATTGTTTTGTTTTTTAATGGTTGACTCCTTGCATTAAATCAGTGAATGAGGAAACATTTGAGCCTAAGTTTTTCAATGTGAAATGAACACAGGTTCATTAATTCTAAGCATTCTGGAGGTACTTTTTCAAGTGATGTTTGGAGAATAAGAGAATATCAGGGGAGTAGTTGACCCGACAGTCATGACTTCTGTGATGTATGCTAATCTATGACTCCACTATTTATAAGCTTCCATTATGATTATAAGTAAAAAAGTTGTTTGTTGAATATTTCCCAAAGTCATTTTTAGGCCAGTGAATCTGGTGGATAAAGGTAGCTCCTTGTTGCCTTATCTCTGGCAATAATGAGAACTGACAGGGAGTGAGGAGATGAGAAAGAGTGGCACAAACCAGGGATATTTGGTACAAGGCCAGTCTGTTACACCCCTTCATGTGCCCATGTGTAATCAACTCAGGACCTAAAAGTTACATTTGTATTTCTTTTAAGAATGTTTACTGCTAATGAGTCTCTAGAAGGCAAGTTTCTTACCTTATTCAGTGGTTAGTGCTGTGCCTGTTCTCAATTTTAAATAATAGTTTCATTGGGGGTATAATTGATGTACAATAAACTGTATATATTTGAAATATGCATTTTTATAAGCTTTGAAGTAGTTATATATCTGTTGTTACTACCATCAAGATAATAAACATGGATATCACCCCCAAAAGTTTCCTTATTAACCCCCTTGGTAATCCCTTTCTCCCACCCTTCCTCACCTCACTCCCAAGTCCCCAAAGTGATCTGCCCTTCTGTCACTGTAGACTAGCTTGCATTTTCTAGCTTGCATTTTTACATGACTCTATAAAAATAGAGTCATGCAGTATATGTTATTTTTGGTTGGCTTCTTGGCATAATGATTTTGAGATTCATGTGTGTTGTCTCATGTATTAATAGTTCATTCCTTTTTATTTCTGGGTAGTACCACATTCCATTGCATGCATATACCATAATTTGTTTATCTGTTCACTTATTGATAGCCATTTGGGTTGTTTCAAATATTTGGCTGTTTCAAATAAAGCTACTATAAACATTTGTGTACAAGTCTTTGTGGGGACATATAGTTTCCTATCTCTTGGAAATAGAATGCCCGAATCATATAAGGTGTATGTTTAACTGCTAGACTGTTTTCCAAAGTGGTCATACCATTTTATGTTCCCACCAGCAGTGTGAGAATGCCACTTACTCCACATTCTCTTTTACACTCTATATGGTCGGTCTTTTTATTTTAGTGGTAGTGACATCTCATTGACTGATGATAATGAGCATCTTTTCATGAATTTGCCATTGTATGTCTTCTTTGGTGAAGCATATGTTCAAATCTATTTGTCATTTTAAAATTGGGTTGTTTGTTTTCTTAACATTGAATTTTGAGAGTTCTTTCCTTATTCTGGATACAAGTCCTTTTTAGATATATGCCTTGGAAATATTTTCTCCCCATTTCTGGCTTGTCTTTTCATTGCCTTAATAGTGTCTTTTGAAGAGTTGAGGTTTGTAATTTTGAAGAAATCTAATTTATCGTTTTTTTTCTTTTATAGATTGTGCTTTTTGGTGTCACATATAAGGAATCTTTGCCTAACCCAAAGTTATAAAGATCTTATATGTTTTCGTCTAGCAGTTCTATAGTTGTATGTTTAACATTTAGGTCCTTGATCCATTTTGAGCTCATTTTTATTAATTTCCTTGTGCTTAGTGTGGATCTTGTAGAGACAGAAAGTTCAGTGTTCCCGTTTCACTGGCCATTCCCAGCAGGCTGTCCCTACTGCAGCCAGAGGAAGTTTCTCTACATTTTCGCCCCTCACCTGGTGGTATATTGCATTGTGTGTTATTTGGTTTGAGGCATGATATTGAGAAGGAGTTTTTAAAAATTTAAATTAAATAAGAACATATTTTATAATATTAAAATTAGATTAGAAATATCTTTAATATCTTTAAAAGATCCTTTAAAAATTGTCACTTTAAAAATGGTCAAAGAGAACTTGTCAGATGTGGCAGTTATCACAATTAAAAATGAAAAGCAAAGAAGTAGATTTTGAAAATATTATTGATGAATTTGCTTCCATTAAACCCAGGAAAATAAAATTATAATACATTTTTTGTTATAAATAAAATATTTAAACTAATGCTGTGAATTTTAATATATCTGATTTTAAATTTTTCAGTATTTTTTTCAACTATATTAATGTTCTGGAAAAAATTAACCATTAAAAATATATTAAAAATATATAGGAGTATGTACACACTTTTCCTTTTACCTCAGGTTCCAGTATGGTTCAGCACAACACTAGTATTTAAAATTTTAACATTGTTCATCAGAGACTCTTTTGCATTAATCTTTATTTTTAAAAACTATTATATTAAAATATTATTTATCTTGATTACTCAGTTTTTTTAGTGCTCCTTAAATTTTGTTCAGATCCCCTCACGTTTCTCTCTCTAGTCCCAGCCCTGGTACTTATATTTCCTCTTCAAAAGTAATAAGACATACATTTAGAAGATATTTATGGTTAAAATATAGTAAAAATTAGCCAATAGAAGTTAGAAATTCATAGAATTTATTCAACTAATTAGATTTTGTTTACTCATTCATTCACATGAGTCAATAAAGTGGCAACCTGTAGAGTTGAGGCACATAAAAGAGATGAGGGTGGGTATAATCATAGTTTGGATGAACAGTTTAAAAATCCAAACAGTCATGATATATATGTATGTGTGTGTATATATA